GATTGTTGTTCACTGAGCAAGGTTGGACTGATCGGTTAATGGCAAGATGCTCGAGAAGTTCTCTTTTGGAACTTTTTCCCATGCAATCGAGAACCATGTGAGCAAGACCGTTCGGTTCAGGAAGATAGTTAACGATCCCCCTGTTCGGTTTATTACCCAGGGCTGCTGAGTGAATGAAGCAAATGCTCGTTCGGCTTTACTACACATGGTTGCTGGGTGACTAGAGCGAATGATCGTTCGACTTTACTACCCAGGGTTGCTAGGTAACCAAAGCGAATGACTGTTCGGCATTACTACCCACGGTTGCTGGGTAACTGGAGTGAATGACATTCGACTTTACTACCCACGGTTGTTGGGTAACTGGAGCGAATGATCGTTCGGCTTTACTACCTAGGGTTGTTGGGTGACTGATGTTTAACGTCCATGTGTGCTAGACGACGGGAACGACCAACCCGCTCGGTGTTTAACGTTGATGAGTCAATATTTTCTTGACTTCACTTAGTTTATTGTACCGGATTTAATTCGGGAAGTGTGCTTAATTGTCCAGTATTTTCCCATTTTTGTTAATTGTGCTTAATTTGAAAAGAAATTCTTATTTTAATTAATTTGAATTATTTGAGACTAATTATTTACATTATTAATTGTAGGGAAATTTTGGATAACCTTTTGGGACTTCAAGAGAAATGTGACATCAATTTTATTTTAAGCTAAAATGATAGGAGGTGTGAATTTCATTTTTTGGGGGTGCACATAGAGATGGCACACGTAAAAGAAGTGCTAAATCACTTGGCTTGGTCCAACAGCAGCTGGTTCAGCAGGGTGACATTCAGCAAATTGAAATCCAAAAGCGGTCCAGTAAGGGAGTTGCACGGATTAATTTTTGGAAGCACACAACAACCTTGGAGCTCACAGCTGCACGTCACACTCCTGCTGCAGCAACGAGGCCCACAAGCAGCTCATCCATTTCATTTTTCTTTTCCTTCCTGTGGCACAATGTTTTTGGTGTCTAACATCACCAAAAGATAACATGCATTTTGTGTATCATATCTTACCACAACAATAATAGTGTTCTATACTATCTTCTAATTTTCTCTCTTTTCTTCTTGAAAATTGAAGAAGAATTTGTTATGGACAATCAGAGTTCTATAGCAATAAACAAACCTTAACAAGAGAGAGAGAGAAAACAAGAAAAGAGAGATAAATGAACGTTAATGAAGAACCTTATAGAGGAAAATGCGAGATCAGTAACAGAAGACGAGAAGAATAGTAAGTTCCATAACAGCATAATGCAAAGACCTTTCGCAGACTTGTAAAAGTTTACAAATTAACCCTATGAGAGGGATAAAGACTCTGTTTTGCTATAAAATCGAAACATATACTCGGACTATTTAAGTATAATTATGGTTTAGAAAAAGATATTTTGACACAGCATACATGTCATTTTTCACTAATTCATTATTTACTTGTTAATGTGTTGACGTACTTTAAACTCAATAAAAAAAATGACATCACTAGTACAGTTAGGGGAAACGACAACGGTTATTTTCGCTAATAGGCACCGGTTTCTGAACCGAGGCATATTCAGGCGAGGTAAAAAGTAATAGACTTTATGCCTCGGTTCGAAACCGAAACATAAAATGGTAATATTATGCATTAGTTCAAAATTAACCGAAGCAGTAACATTTTTATTTTTTTAAATATTTTTTTTGCTGGACTTTATGCCTCGGTTCCTGATGAACCGAGGTCGTTTCTCCCCCTCTCCTGAACCTCCTTTTCCTCTCCTACCTCTCCCTCGCCGACAACCAGTTCTCCAGCCCAATCCCCGCCTCCTTCTCCGCACTCTCCGCCCTCCGCCATCTCAAACTCTCTAACAACGCCTTCAACGCCACCTTCCCCTCCAACCTCGCCCGCCTCGCCAATCTCCAAGTCCTTGATCTCTACAACAACAACATGATCGGTCCCCTCCCCCTCGCCATCGCCGCCATGCCCCTCCTCCGTCATCTCCACCTCGGCGAAAACTTTTTCTCCAGTCAGATCCCTCCCGAGTATGGCACCTAGCAGCACCTAACGAGCTCATGGGAAACATCCCCCAGAGCATGGAAACTTCACCGCGCTTTGCAAGCTCTACATTGGCTACTACAACGCTTACTTCGGCGGCATCCCGTCGGAGATTGGAAACCTGTCCCATCTTGTCCGTTTCGACGTCATGTATTGCGGACTCTCCGACGATATTCCGGCTGACCTCGGAAGGCTTCAGAATATCGACACGTTCTTTCTTCAGGTGAATGCGCTCTCCGACTCGATTCAGGTGAAGACGATATTGCAGATTCATGCCATTAATGTATTCCCACTGGCCCTCCCTCTCTGCTTTCTCTTTCGTACTTCTCTCTCTTCTCTCTCTCTCCTTTCCTACCTAACTACTTCGTCTCTTTTTCTCATTAACTCCTCATCTTTTCTTTCCTTCACTGTAAAACCCTTCCATCAATTCAAAATCCACTTGTATTTTTATTTTTGATATACTATATAATGTTCTTTCCTTCACTACTTCGTCCTTTATTATTACACTTTATTATATATTTTCTCTTACATCTTATCTTGTAATCATTTCAACTTCACGTCCTCAGTCTTATCACCCATCTTTTCTACATTTCTTTTTCACTTTAAAATTATTTTTATCATTCAACATTTGTTATTAAAAAATAATTATTTAACATTTTGCAATCTCAAAATAATAGATTTGCTTTTATACAATGGTAAGTTAAAACTTATAGCCATGATTTTCCAGAACAAGCTACACGGGTCAGGTGTAGTGCAGTAGGTGACAGTGATTTGACAGACTCTTAGGCCTCGGTTCTGTACTGACCGAGGCATAAACCTCTTTCGACACCGGTTTTGTATAGAACCGAAGCACTAGATCATGTGTCAGGTTTTGCAGAAACGCAAATGACTTTTTCAGAGAGTATTAGGCACCGCTTATAAATTGAACCGAGGTAAGATGTTCTATATGCTTCGGATATTCTTAAACCGATGCATATAAGTTTGTGAAAACTACAATATTGCCACCGCTTTCGGATAGGCTTCGGTTTTTCTTTGACCGAAGCCTATTAGGCAAGTTCAAAAGTATATTTTTTACTAGTGCATATGTCCTATATCAAATGTTGTCAAAAAAAAATTTGTGTTAACATATCATTATCCTTTTGGTTCACTCAAAAAATCAAAACTTATACTTTTGACAATCAAAATATAAGCTTTGGTTACTTGAAAATCAAAATATAAGCTTTAGTTATTTCAAAACAAAGTTTATACTCGGACACTCATAAATATTTTTAAAATAAGGTGACAATGTTTTTAAAGTTATTGAAAAAAATAGAAAACATGAAGTAAGGAATTAGTACAAGTAAAAATTTCTATTTTTATTAATTTTTATATATGTCGATAAAAAATATTAAAAGAAAAATTTTCTCTCACATATTTCATTAATCTAATTTTCTAACGTATTTAATTCTATGTATTTTATATTTATTAGAATTAAATCATATAATATATAAAGAAATCATCTTTGTTTAATGAACATTATATTTATCCACTAAATTCTAAAAACTTTAGGGCAACAACACCTTCGCGCCCTTGTTATCCTCCATCACTGGTCTTGTAGACCAGAACTGTATAATTTGTACGGTTAAAATTGAGATTATAGAGGGAGACTGGATGAAGAGAAGAGAGGGAAAAACGATGTTGCACATTGAACTTTAATCTTTGAACCCATGATACATTAATTGATTCTAATACTAAGGACTAGAATTGAGATTATACATTGACATACAACTTTGTCAAAAAACATTAATTTTGTTATCCGTTTTAATTATTATTTATTAATTTTCTAATTTCAATTACTCAGTGTTTGCTCCTTTCTTGGTTGTTAAATACATTTAAAATCTACTTGTTCATTAATTAACTTATAAAAAAATAAATAAAAAATGTTGAATTATGTCTCACAAATTTGGCGTGCCGTCGTAGTTAACTATTAATTAATAATAGGTTTAAACCTATAGTGACTTCCCCCTCGTTACTACTTGTATTGTATTTTGCATTTGTAGTAACATAATAATAAGTAATAATTGTTGTATTGAATCATTGGAAATGAAAATGGGACATAATAATTTAGTTTTTTAATATCCACTCTGCGAATAACACTAATAAGATACGTACAAGGGNTGCAGCAACGAGGCCCACAAGCAGCTCATCCATTTCATTTTTCTTTTCCTTCCTGTGGCACAATGTTTTTGGTGTCTAACATCACCAAAAGATAACATGCATTTTGTGTATCATATCTTACCACAACAATAATAGTGTTCTATACTATCTTCTAATTTTCTCTCTTTTCTTCTTGAAAATTGAAGAAGAATTTGTTATGGACAATCAGAGTTCTATAGCAATAAACAAACCTTAACAAGAGAGAGAGAGAAAACAAGAAAAGAGAGATAAATGAACGTTAATGAAGAACCTTATAGAGGAAAATGCGAGATCAGAAACAGAAGACGAGAAGAATAGTAAGTTCCATAACAGCATAATGCAAAGACCTTTCGCAGACTTGTAAAAGTTTACAAATTAACCCTATGAGAGGGATAAAGACTCTGTTTTGCTATAAAATCGAAACATATACTCGGACTATTTAAGTATAATTATGGTTTAGAAAAAGATATTTTGACACAGCATACATGTCATTTTTCACTAATTCATTATTTACTTGTTAATGTGTTGACGTACTTTAAACTCAATAAAAAAAATGACATCACTAGTACAGTTAGGGGAAACGACAACGGTTATTTTCGCTAATAGGCACCGGTTTCTGAACCGAGGCATATTCAGGCGAGGTAAAAAGTAATAGACTTTATGCCTCGGTTCGAAACCGAAACATAAAATGGTAATATTATGCATTAGTTCAAAATTAACCGAAGCAGTAACATTTTTATTTTTTTAAATATTTTTTTTGCTGGACTTTATGCCTCGGTTCCTGATGAACCGAGGTCGTTTCTCCCCCTCTCCTGAACCTCCTTTTCCTCTCCTACCTCTCCCTCGCCGACAACCAGTTCTCCAGCCCAATCCCCGCCTCCTTCTCCGCACTCTCCGCCCTCCGCCATCTCAAACTCTCTAACAACGCCTTCAACGCCACCTTCCCCTCCAACCTCGCCCGCCTCGCCAATCTCCAAGTCCTTGATCTCTACAACAACAACATGATCGGTCCCCTCCCCCTCGCCATCGCCGCCATGCCCCTCCTCCGTCATCTCCACCTCGGCGAAAACTTTTTCTCCAGTCAGATCCCTCCCGAGTATGGCACCTAGCAGCACCTAACGAGCTCATGGGAAACATCCCCCAAAGCATGGAAACTTCACCGCGCTTTGCAAGCTCTACATTGGCTACTACAACGCTTACTTCGGCGGCATCCCGTCGGAGATTGGAAACCTGTCCCATCTTGTCCGTTTCGACGTCATGTATTGCGGACTCTCCGACGATATTCCGGCTGACCTCGGAAGGCTTCAGAATATCGACACGTTCTTTCTTCAGGTGAATGCACTCTCCGACTCGATTCAGGTGAAGACGATATTGCAGATTCATGCCATTAATGTATTCCCACTGGCCCTCCCTCTCTGCTTTCTCTTTCGTACTTCTCTCTCTTCTCTCTCTCTCCTTTCCTACCTAACTACTTCGTCTCTTTTTCTCATTAACTCCTCATCTTTTCTTTCCTTCACTGTAAAACCCTTCCATCAATTCAAAATCCACTTGTATTTTTATTTTTGATATACTATATAATGTTCTTTCCTTCACTACTTCGTCCTTTATTATTACACTTTATTATATATTTTCTCTTACATCTTATCTTGTAATCATTTCAACTTCACGTCCTCAGTCTTATCACCCATCTTTTCTACATTTCTTTTTCACTTTAAAATTATTTTTATCATTCAACATTTGTTATTAAAAAATAATTATTTAACATTTTGCAATCTCAAAATAATAGATTTGCTTTTATACAATGGTAAGTTAAAACTTATAGCCATGATTTTCCAGAACAAGCTACACGGGTCAGGTGTAGTGCAGTAGGTGACAGTGATTTGACAGACTCTTAGGCCTCGGTTCTGTACTGACCGAGGCATAAACCTCTTTCGACACCGGTTTTGTATAGAACAGAAGCACTAGATCATGTGTCAGGTTTTGCAGAAACGCAAATGACTTTTTCAGAGAGTATTAGGCACCGCTTATAAATTGAACCGAGGTAAGATGTTCTATATGCTTCGGATATTCTTAAACCGATGCATATAAGTTTGTGAAAACTACAATATTGCCACCGCTTTCGGATAGGCTTCGGTTTTTCTTTGACCGAAGCCTATTAGGCAAGTTCAAAAGTATATTTTTTACTAGTGCATATGTCCTATATCAAATGTTGTCAAAAAAAAATTTGTGTTAACATATCATTATCCTTTTGGTTCACTCAAAAAATCAAAACTTATACTTTTGACAATCAAAATATAAGCTTTGGTTACTTGAAAATCAAAATATAAGCTTTAGTTATTTCAAAACAAAGTTTATACTCGAACACTCATAAATATTTTTAAAATAAGGTGACAATGTTTTTAAAGTTATTGAAAAAAATAGAAAACATGAAGTAAGGAATTAGTACAAGTAAAAATTTCTATTTTTATTAATTTTTATATATGTCGATAAAAAATATTAAAAGAAAAATTTTCTCTCACATATTTCATTAATCTAATTTTCTAACGTATTTAATTCTATGTATTTTATATTTATTAGAATTAAATCATATAATATATAAAGAAATCATCTTTGTTTAATGAACATTATATTTATCCACTAAATTCTAAAAACTTTAGGGCAACAACACCTTCGCGCCCTTGTTATCCTCCATCACTGGTCTTGTAGACCAGAACTGTATAATTTGTACGGTTAAAATTGAGATTATAGAGGGAGACTGGATGAAGAGAAGAGAGGGAAAAACGATGTTGCACATTGAACTTTAATCTTTGAACCCATGATACATTAATTGATTCTAATACTAAGGACTAGAATTGAGATTATACATTGACATACAACTTTGTCAAAAAACATTAATTTTGTTATCCGTTTTAATTATTATTTATTAATTTTCTAATTTCAATTACTCAGTGTTTGCTCCTTTCTTGGTTGTTAAATACATTTAAAATCTACTTGTTCATTAATTAACTTATAAAAAAATAAATAAAAAATGTTGAATTATGTCTCACAAATTTGGCGTGCCGTCGTAGTTAACTATTAATTAATAATAGGTTTAAACCTATAGTGACTTCCCCCTCGTTACTACTTGTATTGTATTTTGCATTTGTAGTAACATAATAATAAGTAATAATTGTTGTATTGAATCATTGGAAATGAAAATGGGACATAATAATTTAGTTTTTTAATATCCACTCTGCGAATAACACTAATAAGATACGTACAAGGGAAGGTCTTCCAAAAAGAATGAAAAATAGGTATGTTCGTAGTCTATAAAGTCATGCCATTCTTCATGGGAATACATGCACATTTGTTCTTCACTTCAGCATATCTACATCTGAAATTCAACCCAGCCATGGCCCCTTATCGTTGCACCATTTTTTCTTTAATCTTTGCTATTTTCTTTTCAACCATGGACATTACATTATTACTAGCACGTCCAATAACGGTCCCACCTTCGTGTGGAGCCCTCCCTCAGCCTCCACTCCCACCTCTGCCGCCACTCCCACCTCTGCCGCCACTTCCACCTCTGCCGCCACTTCCACCTCTGCCGCCACGTCTACCTCTGCCGCCACTCTCACCTCTGCCGCCACTTCCACCTCTGCCGCCACGTCCACCTCTGCCGCCACGTCCACCTCTGCCGCCACGTCCACCTCTGCCGCCA